GTTTGTAGTCAGTCTGTGTGATCTTCTTGCAGCAGCTAACTAGGTGGTCCACTGTTTCTTCCACTTCTTTGCCGAGGCTGCATTTGCTGTCTGTTGCTGTCATCTCAGTTCTGGCTTTGCATGCATTTGTTCTTAAGGCTTGGTCTTATGCAGCCAGAATTAGCCCCTCAGTCTCTTTTTTCAACTTCCCTGATATTATTATTATTATTATTATTATTATTATTATTATTATTATTATTATTATTTTCATTTCAGAGTCTAAAAGTATTATGAAAAAGCAACAGTGTGCTGACTTCCAATCTGCAAGTTTACTATGGGGTACAAATCTCCAAGTCCGATTTCTTCTGTTCTCCTTTTCCAATCCCAGCTGTGGAAGGCTGCTTTCACAAAATGAGGATATCCAGGGCTCTGGATTCAATGCCAGTTTGGGAACTAAAATAATCATTCATGGTTTCAGGTACAAATATTCAAAAGTAAACAATATGCTCTGCACAAGTTATGTATAATGGTATGTGGGAATGACTTCTGGAGAGAGGAGGACGAGCCGCAGCCTAGACAACCGTTGTCCAAAAGGTATCTCAGCCCATAGAAGGAAAAGGGGCGTGGGAAGCATCTCAAAAGGGACACTCCCTAGTTCTCTGGAAAGTAACAGTAAAGGAGAGGAGAAGTGCTTTCCGACTTCCAAGAATGTGTTACTGTAAGCTTACAATAAAGGTAGTGTTAATACTCATGGTTTGGGCTTCATGACTGGACTATCTCAAAGGGCTGACAGTATGGAACTAAGAGATAAGTAATGGGACTAATAATTAGGATTGCTTTATCAATGAAAAGTAGACTGTATAATCTATTGATGTACATCTATTAATACTGTTAATATACGTACAAAAAATAATAGATTCACCAAATTAATTGATCATTGTTTCTGACTCTCCAATGACTTCAGTGCAATCGTAAGAACTGGCTCTGCTGACTCCACTGTTGCTGTGCTGCACCACTAGCTTTTTCTGAAGCCACATTATATTGTTGACTCATATTCAGTAGTAATGATGTTTTTCGCAAGTATTACTTCCAAGCTGGGTAACCCCCATTCTGTGCATTTGTTTTAGTTCCTAAGTGCACAAACTGGCATTTCCCTATGCTAAATGTCATTGTCAGGAAGGGAACGCCCTCCACCCCCACCCGCACCCCAATCACTGTTGGAATTCACCTCTGACTTTCTTTCAATCTCTCCCTTCTACATGCCTTTCTAAGAAACCAGATGCCCAGCTAATTGGACCATTCTTTGTCCACTATCAATCTTGTGGCCTTTTGCCTGCAGCTTCCGCTCACACTGAGAACGCATCCAGTTTTCCATCATTCCATCTGGGTCCTGGAAGGCCCCTCTAACCCCTTGCACACTTCTTCCCCAATACCTCCCACATCCTAGGAAAGGGAAGAAGAAATCAAGGTGGGAAATATTTTGGACTCAGTGCAGGAGGGGCAGACTGGATATTTCATTTGCTGAAAGGGATACCCAGATTTTGGGGAATTAGCACATGATGTTAATGCACCTCATCTTCATCAGTTCCACCTGCAATTCCTGCCCATCTGTCAGCAGTTCTGACCTGAGAGGGATGTGTTTATGGACAGGGAAGGGAGAAGTTTGTATGACTAATGAGAGAGACAGAAACTGCTGTACCTGAAGATGGTGGGAGAGTTCTGGAATAGGGAGGGTTCCAAAAAAGCAGAAGAGATGAAAACATTCCTATTTCTTGCTGTCCAGTATCAGAAGGAGGGAAGGGTGGAGATGCCTGAAAGAACAGAAGTTCTGACTGATGGAAAAAATGGAAATGGAAGGAGGGGCACCTGGCACTTCCAGACATAGAAATGAAGGTGAATATAGAGAAGGAGGTTCTGCATTCATTCTGCAAGGAATGAATGAAATGTAGTGAGGCAGGAACCAGTGGTTCCTAGGCTAGAGAGAACTTTTATGTCAACACAGAGCAGATAGGTGCCTTCCAAAGCCATCAAGAGTACAGCCAGGTATCCACTGAATTAGAAAGGAGGAAGGAAAAACCCTAGAATCTTATCCCTGGGGCACAGACCTAGATATGGGCCTTGACTTCTATATACTGCAGTAGGCAAATCTTCCCTGTGCACCATATATGGCTTCATTATTATCTATAGTAAAGAGACAAATCTTGCCTTCTTGGTTGTGAACATGCTGTTGAATAAGCCATGTTTTGAAAAAGGAGTTAAATATCTGGGGAGCTGAGATATCTGTTGTGAACTTTGATACAGCTTGAGCAATCTATGATAAAGTATAAATGTCATTCTAAACTGGGGATCTCATGATTTGTTGGATATCAAACCTTGTTGTTTAGGCCTCACCCTTATGGATGGAAATGCCCTCACACATTCTGTTGCTTTTTTTAATTTCTCCTTAGGGCACTAGGCACCAAACCATCGTGGATAGATGCACTAATTCAAGCCTTGCTAGGGGTAGCCAAAGTCAATGTGATTGCTGTAGACTGGGTTCATGGAGCCACAGCAGCCTATCCTACTGCAGTGGAAAATGTTATGAAATTGGGACTGGAAATTTCCAGTTTTATCCGCAGGTTACTGGTAAGTAGAACTACCCAAGAATGTACTGGATCCAATGTTGCTCAAGTACTTTCTCTTCAGAGAGAAAAGTATCAAATCACTCATTTAGGCACAGATAACTATGTACAAAGATAACTGTAGTGTTTAGGAGTACTCCAGTTTTTTTCTAGATGGTAGGTGGTAGCATTAGCAAATGTGCCTTTTTCAGTGGCATCTATTAGTAATATAAATAACTTCAAGATGGTAATTTGTAGGGCCTTTTTCTACTTGCACTTAACCACAGTGCAAACCTTGTGTCCTGGCAATATCCTTTTTCTGCTATGTCCCCATGATGTTGCCTTCATCTCATCCCAAGCCCATGAATGAGACAAGGTTAAGTTATTATTAGCAGTAGTGAAGTTAAAATAGCATTCTCCCCCCTTAATCTGACATCATTCAAGAGTCACCTCTAGGTACAGGTAGTCCTTGCTTAACAATTACAATAGGAACCGGAAGGTTCATTGTTAAGTGAGTCAGTTGTTAAGTGAGTCACGCCTGATTTTTATGACCTTTTTTGCAGCGGTTGTTAAGCGAATCACCACGGCTGTTAAGTGAATCACACGATTGTTAAGCGAATCACATGGTTCCCCACTGATTTTGCTTACTAGAAGCTGGCTGGGAAGGTTGCAAATGGTGATCATATGACCCTGGGATGCTGCAACCGTCGTAAGTGCGAGCTGGTTGCCAAGCGCCTGGATCTCAATCATGTGACCACAGGGTTGCTGCAACGGTTGAAAGTGTGAGGAACAGTTGTAAGTCCCTTTGTTCAGCACCATTGTAGCTTCGAACAGTCACTAAATGAATGGTTGTTAAGTGAGGACTACCTGTATATAAATCCATTAGGCTTTATCACCCCTTATATTGGAGTGGCTGAAGTGAGGCAGTGGGGCTAGCAAATCATGTGCTGATATAGTTTTCTGATGACTTGAGGATGGGTGGATTGCACTTCAACTCAACAGTGAGGAGAGGTTCTGAATTATGGACCTTTCAGAAATATTAGGTAATCTTTGTATTCTCTAATATATTAAACATGTTTTAGTGCTGTTAAAACTGCCCACTGTTTTGCTGGTACTTGGTTAATTAATTAGTTTATCTTATGGTCAAAGACTAGCAGTCAGGAAAACATAGGGAATTTTAAAAAGTTTGTATAAAATCTAGAACCTAAATTCTAAAAGTTCATATGTAACCTGAAGCAAAAACTAAAATTGGACACAGATTTTAACCAAAATCTTCTAACCCAGAAGAGGTGTGAGGCAAGCAATGGCACAAATGCTCAAGACACCAAGTCTTTGGCCTAATAAGTTTTAGGAAAGAAAATGTTATGATTGGAAAACTCCTTCCCTGCTTCAGAAGGAATGTCCTATGAATTTATTTATAAAATGGGCAGAATAGGAGGCTATGGCTCACTATCTCTATCTCACCAGTCCCACATTGGGAAAGACATTGCTCAGATTCAAACTTCTGATATTTCCCCCATTGGCACTGGGGGAAAGGCATTAAATCAAGCCAGCATGATATTTCAGTGTTGTGACACTGGAAAGGTAGACAGCGGAAGCAAAGCTGTCGTAAACCCTGTGTGTGATTCTGCAGAAACTGAATTCCTATCACTTTGCAAATCTAGTCCCAGTTACAGTATGTTGTCTGATCATACTTGGGGCATTTTGAAAACCTAGACTGCTGGAGAGTTTTCCTCCATACTTCTCTTCCAGATAGATTTAAACTATGAGATAAAATATTTTAAGTAAACAGACATGAAATAAATAGACAAGGTTTGAAGTGTCTCTCAATTACCCCAAAGCAGAAGTCTTTTTGGTGAGGCCCAGTGTTTCTGCAGTGGAAGCCTGGGGAATGAAGGCCACCTTTTCTCCTTGTTCATCCTAATGTGATTTATCAAAGTAATGTTTATTACTGAATCTAGGAAGATACAGTGTTGAAAATTGGAAAGGAAATGATTAAAGAAAATGCCAACAAATGCACTAGGCCAGATAAAATTGATTCATTATATTATGAAGGAATGTACGGTATATTGCAGCTGATTATGCATGGATAGTAAACAAGTCTATTGTCTGCTATGTGACCTTCTCAAAGGATCATATCTTTAAAACAGAAACTAGGGCTGTGGAGTGCTTTGGATTCAAAGGCAAAATGTGCCCTGGAGCACACAAGTACACAAATGTAGCACTTGCATGACCACGTGATTATGTGATTGTGAAAAGACACATTTTGTTTAAAGAAATGGAGACACAAACACTTTTTTACCTTTAAAAAGATAATATTTTTGTAACTACGTCTTTCTGTTTGCTGCCTTGCACATTAACCCTGTCCAGATTCTCTTTGTCCCACAACATATTTGAGCTACCCATACTTCCTCTGCACTTAGTCTGCACTCTAGTCCTGTTCACAATAAGTTAAAAAAAGTGTTGCTGTGACTAACATTAAGTCTGGTGGCAATAAATTATATGTGGAACAGACGGTTGCCTCATCTCTGATTTTAGACTTACCTCCATTTTGCTTTTTTTTGCTTTTTTTGCTTTTTGCCAGCTGAGTAGAATAGTCCAGAGAAAAACATGAACCAGTTGATCAGATTGTTGGGAGGTTTAGCTGTGTGCTTTGAGGGCATTTAGAAGGAAATGTTGAAGTCCTAATTATTATTCTTGCCAACCTTCAGGCTGTGGGAGTGCCGGAGTCATCCATCCACCTTATTGGGGTGAGCCTCGGAGCACATGTCGGGGGTCTGGTGGGCCAGTTCTATGAAGGCCATCTTGGAAGAATTACTGGTAAGGGAAAGCAGCAGGCTGAAAATGTATTATTATGGTTTTTATGGTTATAAAGTTTTTCTCAATATACTAATATTTGGGGAGTTTTAATTAGCTCTTAAGTAATTATATTTTATTAATACTTTATTGCTAACATCCTATTTCTCTTTAGTTTTCTTTAATTCTGTTTAGTATTTTAAAGACTGCACTTAAATGTTTTTATGCATTTCATCCATCAATTTTACCTTTTCCTTTAGTTCTTAATTTCTTGGTATTTTATAATTTTAGATTTGTATAAAACATTAGTCAGTAACTGTAATAAATTTGAACTGAATTGAATATGCTTACACATATGCTTACTTACGCTAACAAAAATAACAGTTTTTTCTTATAACCTAATTTGTATAAAGTTAAAGATTATAGTCCTGTGATAAGTAAGGGAATGGGTGGGCTTTTGGCTATGATGATTATAGGCTGTGGTACATTGAAGAAGCAAGATGTCTAAACATTAGGCAGATGTTAAGCCATGAGAACTACGGTGCCAAAACTGTGATGTAATACATCTTTAAATTTGTTACATGTTTACTTTATTCTTATATATCAAAACCCTTTATGGATTTGGAATCCCCCTCCATGAGAGTTTGATGAATAGTATATTGTCCTATGCTTGACTTGTCCACTTTGTAGAAGCATGTAAAAATTGTTTACTGTAATTCAACATCATGTTGGAGACTATCCTTAGGTGATCAAGGCTTTGCCCCAAAAGTAAGTCAACTTAGTTGGCAAGGTCCATTTACAATGGTCCAGAAAATGGGATTTTTAATGATAAAATAGATTGGGGGCATGGGAAGACCAAGGTCTATCATGTAAACCAAATAAGAGAATAGGTTGAGAGAAAGAAGCCAACAGAGGGAGAGAGACTGAACCACAGAATGGAGTTTTGGGAGTTACTCAGAGCCTAGAGGTAGGAATGAGAAATAGGAAGGAACTTCCCCAGGCACTAGTCCTGCCCACAAAGTCATCCCCGAGCAGATTAAGCAGATTTCCCAGTAGGCAGAAGAAGCCATCTTTGTAATATCTGAGAGGACCACAGCAGCAGGTCAATGGCCCAAAACAGAGCAGATGGCATATCTGGCACCTAGTCTGACTGGAAAAGCTTTGAGAGCTTATTCTAGCCTTCTAGCCAGGGAGGTGGGAAAGTATGAGGATGTGGAAAAGGTGATTCTGCACCCAGTATGATGTAATGAGGCATGAGACTCAGAGAACATTCCTATGACCCACAGGAGGGGGTTAGAGAATTGTAGACCATATTACTGGGTTTAGGAATCAATTGGCTGCAACCTGATATAAAAAACAGTGAGGAGATAGTAGAAGTAGTCCTTGAATAGTTTATTCAAGTTTCTCCAAGGGCAGTCAGCTTATAGATCCAAGAACACCATCCTCAGATGGTGCTTAACTGATACTAGCTTATTTATCTGAAAAACTGGACCTAAAGTGGACTTTTTATATGTAATATATCCTGAAAATGTTGATGGAGGAGCTACACATACTTTTTTTCCTTTTTTTGGAGAGGAGGCAAGAGATTTTTTGTTAGTCCAGGTGTTGTGGCAGTTTGAAATGGGGGAACTTTGAGTCAGGATATGCAAACTCTACTTTTGGTCAGCTGGAGGGAAAACTGACTGACTCATTGCAAAAGTTATATGGACTGATGGAGTGAAATCTGTGCCTTGTGGAAGGGTCCACTGTTTGTATTAAACAACACTTTCAGGAGCAAAGTGTAGCTGAGAGAAATGTTTCTAGCAGAAATCCTGCATTAGGCTCCAAGCCAGTTCAGGACAATGATCCTGCAATAACTTTTAAAAAAAATAAATAAGAGAGATTATGTACATTACTAATGTCACACAGATTTTGTTCCTTCCAGATTTCTCAGTGAACTGTGCCGTCTTGCTCTATAGCAGTGTTTCTCAACCTTGGCAAGTTGAAGATGTGTGGACTTGAACTCCTAGAATTCTCCAGCCAGCCATGCTGGCTGGGGAATTCTGAGACTTGAAGTCCACACATCTTCAACATGCCAAGGTTGAGAAACACTGCTCTATAGCTTTATTCAACCTTCCATTGGGCTACCTTGCTGACAGAACAACTGGTTGATTTTGCAAAAGATTTAAGCAGTTCCCAATAAATGTAGATTTATAGGTTTAGCAATAGTATTGAATAAACCTCCTATAAATACAGGTCATAACAAAATTTGTTTAATATTTTATTATAAGACTTTTTTTCATTGTGATTTGAGTTGTTTCCTGATCCCATCTCTCAAGGCTTTTTTCAAACAAAATAATAGTAATAGCAACACTGAAAAAATGATGATGATGATGATGATGATGATGATGATGATGATGATTGCAGCATCTTGTTTTGCTTTTGTTTCTTATGAAAAATGCCAACAAGTTCAACTCTCTGTTTCAACAGTTCAGGCTCTGCCTTCTGAATCTCAAGCGCTCCATTTCAGGTGATCTCATAGCACACAGTCACTTGCTGCCCTCAAGGTTCACCAAATGAAAACTGTAACCTGTTGCCCCTTATTATTCATCATGTTTCAGGTCTGGATCCTGCTGGGCCAAAATATACCAGAGCCACCCCTGAGGAGCGCCTAGATCCTGGGGATGCTCTGTTCGTGGAAGCAATTCACACAGATTCAGATAGTAAGCTAATGATCTACTTCCCAATCATATTACAGTTTTATCTTTTTAAAGACAATAAAGGTGCATTCGTTTTTAAAATTGTTTTCATGTATCCTTCTTGAAAACATTGTTCGTTATTAGCTTCCACTTTTTAAGAAGTGGTAATATGTTATTTTTGTCTATCATAGCTCCACTATTCCATCTTAGCTCTTCTGATGGAGATGGAGTGACTTGGGTTTATGGGCCAAACAATTCCAGGGTAGTACTGTACTATCTTTGGCTCTGAATGGGATTGAACTCCCTCTCTCAGAAGTGGTCTGCAGTTCAGGTATCCTCCTGGACATAGGCTCCTGTTCAAGCAGCAGTTGGAGTTGTGGCCTGGAGCGCTTTTTGTACAATTACATCTTGGGTGCCTGTTGTGATCACCACTGAATTGAGAATCCTTGCTTACAGTCACTCATGCCCTAGTCACCTCCCACTTGGATTATTGACAATGGGCTGCCTTGAAAAGCATCTGAATTATACAGCTGGTATAGAATGCAATGGCCTGGGCTGTGATGGGGTATCCTGTCACACGTGGGTGACCCCACTGCTTTGGGATTGCACTGTTGCCAGTTAGCTTCTGGGCACCTTTAAGGACACAGTTATTTGCAGAACTATCTTCTCTCCTATGCATCTGCTCATATAATCAGACCAAAGAGGGTCAACATCTTCTAGGCCCTGTCTGTCTAAAGATGCCATCTGATAGGACCTTGGAAACAAATTCTCAATAGCTGCTCCCTTGCTTTAGAACTTCCTCCCTATGGAAATCTAGTCTATCTCTTCTCTTTTGGGTTTCAGGAGAACAATTATGACCTGGCCATTCCACCTGTTCCAGGAGGAAGGTATTTTGCAATTGTTGGGATGACCTGGCACACAAATGTTTTGGTCCCCCCCCCCCACATTACTATGATACTATTCGGATTTTTGACATTTTTTAAAAATTGCAGTCTTTCAAAGTTCAAACTTCTTCGTAATTAATTTTAAGATTTGCAGTTAAAGTTAATTATATTAACGATAATGCTTTACACAGTTCAATTATATGCACGTTTTATGTGTTTTAACAGTTGCCTTTGTTTTATTTGCTTGGCCACTACTTGGAACAGAATTAGACAAAACCTTCTTGAAAAAAACTCATCTTGTGGAAAGATCTGTTTCATACCTGTATGCATCTACACATGTGTGTGATCAGTGCTTCCAGCTGCAGCTTTGCTATAGATGTCTGCAGCATTTTGAATCTAGAAGTGCAATTCTAACTCAGATTTTCTTCTAGATTTTGGTATCCGGATACCTGTGGGCCACATTGATTACTACCTTAATGGAGGGAAAGATCAGCCTGGATGTCCCCGTTTCATATCATCCGGTAATGGTTCCTGGCTTATTATTTGAAGCTGCATTTCTGTCAAAGCAGTATACCTTGTACATCTGTAGATCCATCAGGGATCTACAGTATACCTGTAGCAGCAGGTATACCTTGTACATCTTATAAATCCATCAGGGATATCTGTATCAATAAATGGAGAAACTGCACCTTCACTGAGCTTGGGAGCAGAAGGACTAACAGGAGATTGCCAGGGGAATTCAGGAAGGGAGTTTAAGGGGACATCCCTGATAAATTTTCCCTTTGAGGGCCTTTTCCACTTTCCATCAAACCACAGCACAAACTTGATCAGGCAGCAGTCTCTTTTTTCTGTGGTGTTCCCATGTCCACAAGATGCTGTTAAGTAGTTTTCAATGGTTAAAATAGCTTTTTTCCCCTTCTTCTAATACTGCAAGAACAGCTTCAAGGTATGTACAATCTGTTAGACTTTGTCACCCATTATTTTGGAAGGGACCCAGGTGACTGCAGTAACTGCAGAGGCAATAGAAGCAAGGTAGCAGTGGGGACATTAAAGGTCATGTGCTATAATCTTCTATTGACTCAAGGATAGGTGGGGAGCACTTCAGCAGTGAGAAAAGGCCCTTTGTCAAGAACTTGTAGTTAAGCCTGGTAAATGAGAGCCTGAGAAGGGACTAAAATAAACACTTTTCTAATGGTGTTGGTCTAAGAAGATAATGTCAGCATGAATAGACAGGAGTCTGCAATTGTGACCTGCAATGTTTGTGGCTTGTCTTGCTACCTGAAAAAAATCTGAGATGTATTTTTAGAAAATGCAAGAGTATTTGGACAGTGGAATCAATTACCTGGACATAGGCTCAAGTGGAGGCTATATAGCTATCTTTCTGGTATACATTAATTTAGATTCCTGCACTGAGCAGAGTGGTGGACTCAATAGTTTAAATCAGTGTTTCTCACCCTCAGCAATTTTAATGTATGTGGGCTTCAACTCCCAGAAGTCCCTAGCCAGCATGTTGGGAATTGAAGTCCTCACATCTTAAAGTTGCTGAGTTTGAGGAGCAGTGGTCTAAGTGGTCTAAATCAACTCTGTGATTCGCTGATCCCACCTTTTTAATGTGGCATAGAGATATTCCTCCCCAGTCTAGGACTGACCATAAAGACCAATGCAAACTGAGACTCAATTATTCTGATTTGTAAATCACAATAACATGTAAGCCAAAACATGTCCTTTGCAGGTTATGTAAAATACATTTTTATTTTCCAATTTGCTGTGGTTTTGAAGCACAAGTGGAAACTATCTTATCCTATTACCCTACACGCAAATAGTTTTTTTGATAATGGAATTTGCATGCTTTTTATAACAGCAGCACTCTTTCAAAACACATGTATAAGAAGGGAAATTCCACAGAGGGGAAATCAGAACAATCAAGATGGTGATCAAAGCCTCCCCCCCCTTTTTTTTTTTGTGAGTATGAGGTATGCAATGCATGTTTAAAATACTCGGGGTTTTGCTTGTGCAGTTGTGCCTGGCATCTTGACTTTTTGACCCCCCTGCAGATACCTCTGTTTTAAGATCTTCCCATTCTTGTTAAAATTCCTCTCTAGAGTTCTGTAAGAGCAGAATGATCTTTAAATAGCTTTCAGATTTTTTTTTAATTTATTTTTTAAATGTGTTTACAACATAAAAGTGTTTTAACAAAAAAGTAAAAAACTACAACAAAGAGAGAAAAAAAGTGTTAATATATCATT